CCAATGGTATACTTCCATACCTTCCCTCTTTAAGCATCAAAAGCACACTTTTGGAGAGAAATTGAGAGGAGATTAAGAATATAAAGAATTCTTTCAAGATGCTTGGAGGGGTGAGAAAAGATGGCCAGCTGGAAGCGCAAAGTCCAATTGTTGTTAGTATACATCAGCACAGCTAAGCACAATTGAATGTGGTCTCTGAAGTCACTGAGGAAGATATCTAGTCTGGGAATGGAACTTCAGCTGGTGAGTAGAATCAGAAGTGAAAAGCTTCTCCAGGGCCAAGTGAAATCATCCATATTTACTCATGAAGAGACGGGCACAACAGATACCCTGGACAAGAAGCCAAAGGGCCATCTATCTCTTTTGTCCTTCCAGCAGCAACTCACATCGTGCCTGACTTCTGCATCACCACTCCAGCCACACACAGCTGGGGAAGTCAGCAGTCAAGCACGCAGGCATGGCAGCTTGGTGGCTCAAGTCCCGGGGCCAAGTGTCATTCCTTTACTTGTCTCAAGAACTGGCAATGAAACAAAAAGCTCACATTTTAGAGCCAAACCCTATTCCAGCTCTTGGTGTTTTGCAGGAAATTCCACAAAATTGAAAGTGATAGAATTTAACCAGTGTCTTTTTGAACACTGGATGAGAAAGCATATAGACTGTTGCATAATTAAACTAGTCCTGCAGGACATTAATGGGAGTCAGGTTTGTGTCCAAACACAATATACACACTGCTTCTTTCTCTAGAGCAAAAACATAAAGAACCATCCTTATTCTGTTTATCCAAAGATTTCCTAACTCCTATCGATGCCAGAAAGTAACCATTATTTTCATAACATTAACTTCAGTTTAGAAAAGGGAACTGTCAAACATCCCGCCACCTGTTTTGTTACCTGTGGAGGTCATACAAGGGGTCATAGTTCATGTCTTTGTAACTCCTCTCTACGCCAGAGATCATTTACAAAGAAAATGGAGGGAAATCGGAAGCTTACTGCATCAGAAAAAACACTGCCATCGCACAAGGATGTGGAATAGAAGGGAACCCAGGAGTCTCCAACTTTGACAAGTGTCTTCTGAACTGAAATGTCAGTTACTTGAACAGTCTGGAGATTCGTTCTATTGCCATTTACCCTAGTGAGTACTTCCACAGCCTTTTACTATGGGATCGCTGATTCTCTAAAGTCTGTGAGTTCCAAAAGATGCAACAACCCTTAACAAGGACCTTACATCAAACCTTCATGGAGCTGCTAATTAATAGATGCACTCTTGGGTCTTCACCACTGCAGTTACAAGCTCTATCCTGCTCTCTCCACCGTGCTAATGTGTGGTATAGGTTAACAGCCAACAAGGTGAGCCTCTCACGCCTACATTCAAGATAAGGGGAAAAGTTTCCATTCAGGGTACAGTGAAACAAATCAAATGACACCAAAAGGAGCAAACAAATTCAGAAAGTCGGATACTCCACAGGACAACAAATGATCCCATTTTTACAGTAAGTCAATGACATGCGGAAAAGGGAGCAAAGGGGGGAGCTTGCTCATTGTAGATTGAAATGACAGAGACCGAATGTGATAGGTGAATTTCATGATTAGAGCAAAATTACTGTCCATAGGCATTCCTGACCTTCAGGGAAATCTGATTTTGCCTGGGTGTTAAGTGATACCAAAGAATCATGGTTTATTTTATTAGGTGTAATAATGGCATTATGGTTTATACAGGAAAATGACTGTATTATCTAGAGATATTTACTGAAGGATATAAGGGTAAAATGACATGCTATTAGGGATTTTTACACTTTAAAGCTATTTTAAAGCTTTTAAATGCTTTAGCAAAGAAAAATGAAGAATTCTATGAAGTAACTGGTATAAAATCTTGGTAACTGTTAAATCTCAGTGCACAAGGGTTCGATGTATTATTCATTCTATTTTCTTTTAAGATTTTTATTTATTTATTCATGATAGACAGAGAGAGAGAGGGAGAGAGAGAGAGAGAGAGAGAGAGGCAGAGACACAGAAGGAGGGAGAAGCAGGCTCCATGCCGGGAGCCCGATGCGGGACTCAATCCCAGGACTCCAGGATCATGCCCTCGGCCAAAGGCAGGCGCTAAAGCACTGAGCCACCCAGGGATCCCCTCATTTATTTTTAAATATGCTTAAACTTGTTCATGTTTAAAAAATTCATGTGAAAAAATTAACTGAGCTAAAAATCTTTGGTAATAAAATGTATAAAAGTTCCAAAATCTATAATATAGGAAAGAGTTTATAAAAACACAATACAGGGTGGTACCTGGCTGGCTCAGGTGGAAGAGCATGTGACTTTTGGTCTCACAGTTGTGAGTTCAAGCTCCAAGTTGAGGATAGAGATTACTTAAAAAATAAGATCTTAAAAAAAAAAAAGTTATGCCTTTTCCTCTAAAGTAAATTTCTAAGAGGCAATAATTCTGGATCTCCCAACAGCTAAAGAACCTGGGTGTCTTTTGTCTCTCTTCTCTCAGGTACTGTCAGACAGTACCTGAGAGTGGTACTGTCTCCCCCAAGCCAACAGACTCAATCAAGAACCGGCTTCAGAGAGCTCAGCCTCCTTGTCCTGTTTCCATATGGTTTCTCGGACTAAGGCCAAGGTTGGGTAGGGAGGGGAAGGTTTACTTGTTGTAACATACAGATTTTTCTGGTCTCTGAAACAAGGTGGGTTACAAAGATGATCCCTATTAAATCCTGCTACCACAATGCTTCAAGGGATTAACACAACCTCCTTGGACATATATATTATTTTAATCTACATTCTAATCTTATTAATAAGTATATTCCATAGGTGCCTAGGTGGCTCAGTTGGTTAAGCATCTGCCTTTGGCTCAGGTCATGAGTCCCGCATCGGGCTCCCTGCTCAGTGGGAGCCTGCTTCTCTTTCTCTCTGTCCCTCCCTCCATCTCATGCTCTCTCTCTCATTCAAATAAATAAATAAATTTTTAAAAAATTAAAATACATTAAAAAAAATAAGTACATTCCTAGGGTGCCTGGGTGACTCAGTTGGCTGAGTGTCAGACTCTTGATTCCAGCTCAGGTCATGATCTTGCAGTTGGGAGATCAAACCCCACATCAGGTTCCGCACTCAGTGCGGAGTCTGCTTCAGATTTTCTGTCTCCCTCTTCCTCTTTCTGATAAATAAAATTGTTAAAAAATAATAAGTACATTCATGAGTTCCTTCAAAGAACACCGTAACTGTAATTTTTAAATAGACAATTTTTTTGTTTATTTTTTATTGGGGTTCTATTTGCCAACATATAGCATAACACCCAGTGCTCATCCCATCAAGTGCCCCCCTCAGTGCCCATCACCCAGTCACCCCATCCCCCCACCCACCTCCCCTTCCACTACCCCTTGTTCGTTTCCTAGAGTTAGGAGTCTCTCATGTTCTGTCTCCCTCTCTGATATTTCCCATTCATTTTCTCTCCTTTTCCCTTTAATCCCTTTCACTATTTTTTATATTCCCCGAATGAATAAAACCATATATTGTTTGTCCTCCTCCGACTGACTTACTTCATTCAGCATAACACCCTCCAGTTTCATCCACATTGAAGCAAGTGCTGGGTATTCATTAAATAGACAACTTTGCATTCCATTTTTACTCCTATCTATGACACACAGAATAAACAGAGTTCAATCCTGTATAAAAGCTCAGTAGCTTCTAACTTGGTAGTAACAGACCCTTAGTTCAGGAGTCACAAACTACAGATGATTTTCAAAAATGACCTTTAGTTCCTCTTTAAAAAAAAAAAAAAAAAGATTTTATTTGTTTATTCACGAGAGACACAGAGAGAGATGCAGAGACATAGGCAGAGAGAGAAGCAGGCTCCATACCAGGAGCCTGATGCAGATGCTCAACTGCTGATCCACCCTTAGTTCCTCCTTAAAAAAAGAAAGAAAAAAAAAAAAAAGATCTGGGGCACCAGGGTGGCTCAATGGCTGAGTGTCTGCCTTTGGCTCAGGTCGTGATCTGAGGTCCCAGAACTGAGTCCTGCACTGGGATCCCTGCAGGGAGCCTGCTTCTCCCTCTGCCTATGTCTCAGCCTCTCTCTGTGTGTCTCTCATAAATATATAAATAAGACCTTTAAAAAAAATCTTATTTATTTATTTGAGAGAGAGAGCACAAGCACGGGGAGGAATAGACAGGGGAGAGGGAGAAGCAGGTTCTGGGTTGAGTGGGGAGCCCAATGTGGGCTGTATCCCAGGACCCTGGGATCATGACCTGAGCCACAGGCAGAGGCTTAACCAACTGAGCCACCCACGTGCCCTGACACTTAGTTCCCCCTTAAGGCAGTAAGTCAAATAATGAACTGCCAAGTTGGTCACTGTGACGGTGAATCCTTATAATGCCCCAAGTTGCCAGAGGCCATGGATAAGACACTTAGTCTTCTCCTTCAACTCCCTCTCTGAACAGGATATAACACAAGGTATTGTTACCCAATTTCTGTGGCTTTTGTAATCTAATTATGTAACTAAAATAGCTACAATCCAAATCAACTTCGGCACCATAAGATTGTTATATATGGTTAAAACCCTTTATCTACAGAGTTCACCATTCTTCTACTTCTAATTATTCTCCATCATAATGCCTTGGTAAAGTCACCATAATCACTTAAACTTCTGGGTTATAAAATGTGTGCATACTCTCACATCACAATTTCCAGTCTTTAAGAATGTTACTTCTTGGGCACCTGGGTGGCTCAGTTGGTTAAGTGTCTGCCTTCAGCTCAGGTCATGACCCCAGCACCCTGGGATCAAGTCAGGGAGCCTGCTTCTCCCTCTCCCTTTGCCTGCTGCTCCCCCTGCTTATGCGCGCTCTCTCCCTCTCTGTCAAGTAAATAAATAAAATGTTTTTTAAAAAACTAAATAAATTAAAATTTTTTTAAAAGAATGTTATTTCTCTCTGTGAATATTGTGAAAATAATTACCTGAGTTGGTTTACCTCATGTATATGATTAGAAATAATGAGAAATCCTCAGGCCCAAGTTTAATCATGTTGTAATTAAGCACTGATTGTACAAAAGACTGTTCAAAAGGTGAACTTAAATTGACAACTGAGTTCGTTTATGTCAACTGCCTTTCACATACATGATGGCTAAGAGGCACACAGGGTCTGCATTTTCCAAGAAATCACACAGAAGCAGCTGCTTTGTCAATAAACGTGGCCAGTTTCACATCTCTCTTGGTCAGTCCGCCACAGTCGTGCGAGGTTAGGGTTATCTGCACCTAAGAAACACAGAAGCAGTTTTAAAAAGCTAGAGCTACAATTCATGCTACTCATTTTTGGTGGTTCACAAGTCATTTTATTATTCAACATTCACATTTAACACACAGTGCAGAGATTAAATAATTTACAAAACACTACATTATGAATAAGTGCAGCATTTCCAAAACCAAGTCTCCTGCAGGGGCACTGTGGGCTTCAGGCTGGGCCCAGCAGCTGCCCACAGATAAAAAAAAAGGTCCTTTCATGTGAAGGGCAATCCAGTTGCCGGAATCTGTAATCTTGTCCCTCAAAAAAAAGAGACAGACTACGGTTCCATTTTGACTCCCATTACTTTAATTACACAACTATTTTAAGGCCACTGAGAAAAACCAAAGTATCAAATGTAGTATCTTAGGAACTACAGTCAGAAAAGCCCATTTCCAAATTAGGGAAATGGGCGGGGGTGGGGGGGTGGGGGGTGGAGGAACAGACTGTGGCTTCTAGAAAAATCAATTAAAAAGCAAAAGTAAAATTATGGGCAGAGAGAGGCAACTAGGTAAGAAAGGTTTATCATGGTACCTGCGTATTCTGAATTATTCCAATAAATCACAAGTACATCAGAAAATGTTCTTTCTTTCAAAGAGAGAGAAAAGAGAATCATGCAGAAGTCTAGATAAGATACTTCAAATGGCATGACCATAAAGGCAAGAACATGGGGGGGGGGGGCGGGATGACTGTTCTTACTTTGAGCCCCCTTCAAAACTACTTAAAATCTTTCTTTTTAGCCGGCTCTTTGTCTAATGAAGGTCAGTTCCCACTTAGAATGTAGAATTTAACAGTTATTTTTAAAGCACAGTTCTTGAGTAGTTATTTCAGTAAGATAATAAGGCCATATCTCTCTTATTTGCTACATTACATTCAAATATTTACCTTAGGAGAGTTTAAAATGTATCTGCATGGCTGATTTTCAACTTTAATTCAGAAGCCTTATTTGGCTGAACTCACATTAGTTTCAGTAGAAGACAAGCATGAAAATAAAAGAGTTTTGTCACTGCTCTCTTGAGTAGATCTGAGAATTTGTTACTAATTTGCAATAATACACAGGGATTCACAGCAAAAGAATAAAAGAATGCTTTCCTAAGCACAATGACACTTGACACATCATTGCACAGGATAACAAGAAAGAATGAAATTTCTTAAACTTCACAGTGAAGGTGATCCCCAAATAAGGCAATTTAGTTACCTTGTTGTACACATTGAACCATTCCGGGTGATGATTCATCTTCTCTGCTTGCAAGGCGACTCGGGACATAAAGCCAAATGCCTGCATAAAATGAAGCTGAAACTGATTAGTGGCACTGCCTTCTACTCTGGACCTGCCCGAGCGAGACCAGAGCAATCCAGCCCGATAAAGACAAGGCTAGGATCCTTAGGGAAGCATGCAGAAATCAGAAATGAAAGGGATTGCTCTCCACAGAGTTGGGGTAACGGTGTAGCAGGACCATGACCTGCTGGCTCAATGTTGAAAAACAATCAGGCTCAAATAAACAAACCAGGAAATTGGTCTCACCCAGTGACCTGTCTGGACTATTTAATTGTCCTCAGGACAAGACTCGCCAAAATAGCACAGGAGTAATTTCCCTTCAACCAAGTACCCTGGATCTCACTACCTGGCCCCAAAGCTTCGGGGCTACTTTTCTTGGGTCACAACTCCATTGTGTTTGGTGAATAGGTTGCTAACTAAGGCATCAATCCCAAAACTATGGAAAAATATCTTCCAAGTTTGTCTTCAGTAAAAGCGCTGGCAGAACTGAACACCTTCCCCATCCTATCTCCCAGACAGGGCAGGATGGAATAAAAGACTTTTTTTGACATGTAAAGTGAGACAGGGAAGTCTGGCTTGCCTGCTCTGGGTCTCCTTGCGATTGCTCAGCAATGCCATGTGGAACAGAACACACTCTTCCTCAGGGCAGAGGATGGCAGATTTAGGCACATGAGTAACAGTGGCCCTGTAGGGCTCTGTCTCCGTTCCACAGGGAAAGTGCAAACCTAATTTTGCTAAGCAGAAGGTAAACCTGTCCTGAAAGGACAAAAAACTTTTCTTTTGCTTGCTTTCCAGTTTTTATGAAGGCAAATGCAAACAATAGGAGAGTCTGTCTCTAATGTGTCCAAAGGCAGAAATATTTGGTAAGACTCTTAGGTAATGGTATATTAACTACAAATTTACAGTGGAATTCACAGGGCAGTACTCATTGTAGCCACATAAATAAATATTTAACTACATTACCCCAATCCAGAAAAACTGATCTGATGCTAGCTGAGCTATGCTTTTTGGATCACCAAATTGACATAAGAGCACATTTCCAAGTAAATAAGCAAAGTATGGAAGATGCTATTTTAAACCATTCTGTTACTCAAAATGGTTCCTATGTCAGAACAATTGTATTCCAGATAAAGGCTCCCATTTTGGCCTTTAATTAAAGGCCTAAAGGTTTTCCCTGTCAGGAAGAAAATTCAAGCAAAATCCATCTAATCACTCAAGGAATTATCAGTGGAAAAAAAAAATATTCACTCTCCTACTACCTCTTAATCTCATAATCTGATTCTCCAGATTCTGTCAAATGTGCAAAGTCTGTTTTAATTATCCAAATACAGAGTTAACCTGCGTTAAATGGTGTACAATGAGAATTTTTTAGTCTGTTTGCCTATAAAGCATTATTCTTATTTAGCTTTAAAAGACTTTCATACTAGCACAAAAACAGATACATCGATCAATAGAACAGAAAAGAGAACCCAGAAATGGGCCCTCAACTCAATGGTCAACTAATCTTCAACAAAGCAGGAAAGAATATCCAATGGCAAAACAAACAAACAACAACAAAAAAAAAAACAGCCTCTTCAACAAATGGTGTTGGGAAAACTGGACAGCCACACACACAAAAATGAAACTGGACCATTTCCTCACACCATACATAAAAATAGACTTAAAATGGATGAAAGACATAAATGTGAGACAGGAATTCATCAAATTCCTAGAGGATTTTGCACAGGCAGTAACTTTTGTGATCTCAGCCGCAGCAATTTCTTACTAGGCACATCTCCAAAGGGAAGGGAAACAAAAGCAAAAATGAACTATTGGGACCTCATCAAGATAAAAGCTTTTGCACAGCAAAGGAAACAGTCAACAAAACCAAAAGACAACCAACAGGATGGGAGAGGATATTTGCAAATGACATATCAGATTAAGGGCTAGTATCCAAATCTATAAAGAACTTAACCAAACTCAACACCCAAAGAACAAATAATCCAATCAAAAATGAGTCAGAAGACACGAGCCAAAGAAGACATACAAATGGTTAACAGACACATGAAAAAAATGCTCAACTTCACTCAACATCAGGGGAATAGAAATCAAAACCATAGTGATATACCACCTCATACCAGTCAGAATGGCTAAAATGAACAAGTCAAGAAACAAAAATGTTAGAAAGGACGTAGAGAAAGGGAACCCTCGTATACTGCTGGTGGAAATGCAAGTTGGTACAGCCACTCTAGAAACAGTATAGAGATTCCTCAAAAAGTTAAAAATAGAGCTATTCTATTAACCAGATTGCACCACTAGGATTTACCTAAAGGATACAAACGAGGGATCCAAAGGGGCACCTGCACCCCAACATTTACAGCAGCAAAGCAAACTAAGGAAAGGGCCCAGATGTCCATCAGCAGATGAATGGACAAAGAAGATGCAGTATATATATATACACAGAGGAATACTATACTCAGCCTTCAAAAAAATGAAATCTTGCCATATGCAATGATGTGGATGGAAGTAGAGGATATCATGCTAAGCAAAATAAGTCAATCAGAGAAAGACAATTATCATATAATCTCACTCATGTGAAATTTAAGAAACACAACAGAGGATCATAGAGGAAGGGAGGGAAAAACAAAACAAGACAAAATCAGAGAGGGAGACAAACCATAAGAAACTCCTAATCGTAGGAAACAAACTGAGGGTCACTGGAGGGAAGGAGGGTAAAGGGGGATCGGGTAACTGGGTGATGGACATTGAAGGCACATGAGCCCTCAGTGTTATATAAGGCTGATGCATCACTGAACTCTACCTCTAAAACCAATAATACATTATATGTTAATTAAATTAATTTAAATAAAATTAAAATATGTCCACATACACACACAAAAAAACTTTCAAAAAAGTTAACCACAATCCCTGAGAAATAGTAACACAGTCATTAAGGGCATAGGCTTCTGGGAATCCCTGGGTGGCTCAGCGGTTTGGCGCCTGCCTTTGGCCCAGGGCGCGATCCTGGAGTCCCGCATCGGGACTCCCGGCATGGAGCCTGCTTCTCCCTCCTCCTGTGTCTCTGCCTCCCTCTCTCTCTCTCTCTCTCTCTCTCTCTATCATAAATAAATAAATAAATAAATAAATAAATAAATAAATCTTTAAAAAAAAAAAAAAGGCATAGGCTTTTGAGCCAGGGAGGCCTGAATTTAAATTCCATCTCTACAACTTGTCATGTGAGCCTCAGTTCTCTAATCAGTAAATTGAAGATAATAATAAAAAGCTCACATAATCACCCTAATTAAAAATGAGATACAGGCAGCCCGGATGGCTCAGCAGTTTAGCACCACCTTCAGCCCGGGGCCTGATCCTGGAGACCGGGGATCGAGTCCCGCGTCGGGCTCCCTGTGTGGAGCCTGCTTCTCCCTCTGCCTGTGTCTCTGCCTCTCTCTCTCTCTATCTCTCATGAATAAATAAATAAAATCTTTTAAGAAATAAAAATGAGATATAAGATACAAAAGTATCCTAGCACAGCACTTGGCACTGGGTAAGAGATCAATAATGGCAGATACTGCTACCCCAGACTGCTCTGGCCAAACTGCACATGATAAACTTTATAAAATGTAATGATAGGTGAAAAGCCCTCCCACGGCCTTAAGAATCTAAGATTTCAGTTGTTGTCTCCCAGAAGAATAGCGCTTTCCTTTTCCCACATGCCATAAATAGAGACTGTAACCCACACACAAGGAAATAGATAACACACTATAGGGTAATCCCCTGATGCACACTGACCAGGGAAAACAGCCTAATGACAAGATACTAGTTGGGTAAAGTCAGTCACCATTCAAGTTCTTGGCCCTGTGGCCATCATTTCTTTGAACTATTATCTTAAAGGTCCAAAGTGATGTTTAGCATCCCTAACAACTTCCAAGAACCAAGTGGATCAAGGGATGATTTGAACATAGAAGTGCTCCTCAAATCTTTGATTACCAGCATGCCATCAGCATGGTAGCACAATCTATTTTAGCACAGAAATGACTTCAAAGAAAAAGCTCATTGGGGCACCTGGTGGCTCAGTCAGTTAAGCATCCAACTTCTGATCTCAGCTCAGGTCTCAATTTCTCAGTCCTGACTTTGAGCTTCACAATGGGCTCCACATGAGTGAAGCCTACTTAAAAAAAAAAAAAAAAAAAAAAAAAGAGAAAGAGAGAGATATAGAGAGAGAACACCCAGATTCTAAGAAGTACATTGATCAAAGAAAAACTTTCTACCATATCTACATACAATGTGAAAAGACACTTCCAAAGATCTTCCAAATTCATGTATTCCTCAGCTTTAAATGTTTCCCTTCAACTATCACCTAATATTTGCATTTAATAAAATAACACAAAGCCTGATAAACAGGATCTACTCCTAATTTTTCCCTAGGGAAAGAACACTTGCTCCTGCTCTAGAAGCAAGGAGACAATTTCAAAATCCTTCTTCCATGTAACAGAACCAAATAATCCCCCAAATATTTATATTTTTAAATCCATAAATTAAAAACATTCACAACAATACACACTCAAATTAAAGTAAAAGGATTTCTGCAAGGAAGTGAAATGAGTGGAGAGGAGAAGAAAAAAAGCAGAACCTCAAAAGGGAATTTTGATTATCTGTTATTAATAAAGAAGGAATATGACTAAACAGCAAAACTGGCAGATGGTGAAAAGCAGCTGTCCTTTTTTTTCTACAATTTCTTTTTAAAGCCCTAGCTACTTGTTCCCAGGATGCCAGTTGGAACCTACAGGCCTTGAGCTAGCTAAAAGTCTAGGCTTTCTAAAACCATTCCATCAATAAAAACTGCAAAAAGCCCAAGGCAGAATATATACCACTAACAACCCAATAAGAAGCTTAGATGACAGGACTAAAAAAGTGGAAAAAATGAAACTGAAGTCAGCAAGAGTTTATAAGAATTAGAAAATAAGTACAGAAAACAAAGTAGATCTAACATACAGATAAATTTTGCGAAAAAGGGCCTC